TTATCATCAGCAGGATCAATTGAATTAGTTGACTCATTTTCTTGCTGCTGCTGCTGCATAAACTGTGGCAGTATCACTTCAAAAGCTTTTGTCATGTTTGATGCACTATCTCTAACAACATGAGATACTTTGTTTCTTATGTGAAATGTTTCAATTACTTCGTCAAAGTTATTTACAATATTCTCACTAGTATGACGGCCTGAAAATTCTTTACATGACAGCAACCCTCGTTTGAGTTTCCAGTTTTCAATGTAGTGCACTGTAACAAAAAAGAATGCATAATTCGGTTTGTCCATATATCAACATTAACGCTCACTTTGTCTATGCTACCAAATGTTGCACACAATTTATCCTTAATATATTGTTTACGATCATTTATTAGTTTTGATGACATGGATTTTCTACTTGGTAAATTGTAACGCGGTTCAAGAACGTTCATTAGGGCTGCAAACTCTTCACTTTCAAATAATGAAAATGGCAAAAAGTTACCAGCAATAACATCAACTAGAGCTCTGGTTATTTTCAATTGACGCGGTTCTGAATAATTAAATTTCTTCGGTGTTTTATGAAAGAAGTTATCTAGAGAGATTGTATGGCTACTTTCTCCTTTGTTACTGTTGTTAACACTCCCTTCCTTACGCTCACGCGTTTGATATTCTGCATGTTTCAGAGTGTGTTTACGCTAAAAATAAAAACAACAGAAATTACAGAATAATTATAACATAGTTATATAAATATTAAATAATCTGTATAATGTAGATTTGATATTTATAAAAATAGTTTATTAAAACATTAATAAACTATTTTTTTAATTATGCAAAATACACGTAATAATTAATAGCATGGTATTGTAATATTGTTTCACTTACCGACAGGTGAGTTTAACGGTTTGAATTTGCTTTTATTAAGTATGAAACAAACTCTCCACATGTTTTGCATTTTATTTTTACATTGTCACCATTTAATTTTACTAATATCTTAGAGGCAAGGGTTTAACGTTTTTCCAAATAAACTTTGGATGTTGGCGTGCTTAGGTCTTTCTTTTTCTCAAGTCAAATTTTTTTTTAATAAAGCCATCAATGAATTTCCTGTATGTAACTTCACCTGGTATTTTATTCAAAATTGATGGAAAGAAGAAGTTGCAAATTTCGCTTTAGAAGTATTTTGTCCTACCAAATGAGTTAATACTAAAAGCTTGCCTTTTGTAGAAATTAGACCATCATTGTTTATAATAAGTGATACTGTTTATATCAATTTCCTCTTATTTAAATTTAAAGCATTTTGATGATTGAAGAATCAGAGATTGATATTGATACAAAGCATAATTTCTTTCAGTGCGTAGAGTAGTTTCCTTATAAATCCAAAATCTCTATTGCAGGGCGTTTAACTGTGACCTCTAATAGGAAAATTTATGATTATCTTGTCAAATTTTCCTAATTCTAACAAGTCCATATAAAAGCGCAGTGTTGTGTAGTTTTTGTTCTGGCCCCCACAGTTATCAGCAAAAACATATAATTTCTTAACACAAGGATTAACAAAATTCTGTAAATATTTATGTATGAAACTGCAAACCTCGTTTGGGCCTTTGTGCCCAAACGAGGTTTGCAGTCATGAGCATCTAAGCAGAAATTCTATTCCACAAAGCTGCAATGTAGTAATTAACCAAGATAAACTATTACCGTTTACTCAGGATCGTTTTCTAAGTAATATTGAAAACAAAGCCAATTTCATAAACTTTTTTTCACATCACTTAAATAAATTGGGGTATTTGACTGTAAACTACCCTGGCGATGCTGATAGCAACGTTGTTAAAACCGCTCTTGATATCGAAAACAAAAGGAAAGGCAACATGTCTGACATTTACTTTTTGCAAGATAAATGAGATAAAGCTTGGAGTAATAAGGATGCTTGTTTAAAAAACAAAGCCATAAAACAACACCTGCTCTTTGTCTATGTATGATTGGGATGTGACACTGTTTCGTCTGTGTTTGGAAAAAGTAAAACAAAACTAGTTAAAATAATCTCGGACGATTAATGGCAAAAAATATCAGAAGTAATGACAAGTTCATAGAGTAATCAAGAAGATGTTGGAAACGCCTCGATTGAAGGTTTTATTTTGTTATATGGAGGAACAAATGGAAGCACACTTGCAAAATTGAGATAATTAATTTCTATCAAGCATAGATATCCTAATTCTATAAAAATAATTATCATACTTAATTTTATTATTAATTTTAGGTATAATAAATACATCGATTTAGCATGCAAGGGTATAATATCGCCAGAGAAACTTCGACCTACTGATAACGCTGCTTACTTTCATGGTCTGCGCGCGCATTGTCAAATAATGTTATGGTCACTAATTAATGACATTGACCTAGATGCAACTGAATGGGGCTGGAAGCAACAAGACAGAGTAATCACACCTATAATGAACGATAAAGACATTGCGCAAGAAGCACTAACAAAGGTCATTAGATGTAATTGCAAGGTTTGTTTTGAAATTAATTTATTTTTTCAAACTCCTTCAAAAGATCTTACAAAACTTTATCTATGTAATTTAAACTTAAATATTTTTATTTTTAACTGTAACAATTTCCTTTTTTGCTAATCATTAAGACAATAATAAAAAACCCTTGTGGTGGCAAAGCATGTACGTGCAGGAAATAAGGAATTCGGTGCTTGCAATTTTGTCGTGGAACAGAATGTATGAATAGCAAGGTAAATTTTAAGAATGAAAATTAGAAAAAAGACGTGTTTTCTCATCATTAATCTTTAGTATCACACATAAATATTTCTACAAGATATCAGTCCTATATTTGCTTATCTATTTCCTGTAAGGCAATGAAATTGAAGAAGAAAACAAAATAGAAAATTATGAAGATGACGATAGGAACATATTATGTTTCCCTGATTTCTAAATCCAGAAATATTATTTTTTAAAAAATGATTTAATTAAATGTGACAAATGATCATTTTAATAAAAGATTTTATTAAAACTTTAAAAAAAAAAGTTGTCTAATGTATTATTTACGTCATTTATTTTTTATATAACTAGTCGCCCTTTCATTTTAAAACCTTTGTCTTAAAATGAAAGGGCGTTCTGCTGGTGTCTTTCAAAAAGTTGCTCAGCATAAAAAATGCTTTAAAATGGTGTATAATAAGTCAATTTTCAAAAATATATATTTTTGACCATTTTGGGTATTCGTCATTTAGATATTGGGCCGGAAAAGGGGGTTTTTCCTATTGGGAATTTGGGGCATTTTTTTTACGTGATCTATATACCTTAGGGAATTACTGAGCAAAGTTTTAGCTTTATAAAATTTTTTTACCGGAAATAATCTTATTCGACTGGACTACTGTAAACGTTTAGCGGTTTCTTTTGTTAACAAATAGACTATTCGTGGATTGCGTGAACTGTTCTCTATTAAGCACCTATATACAGTTACTCATCTTTAGTTTAAGATAAACTTTGATATACTTGGCCAATAAAATAAAAAATTTTTTTAACAACTTTTACAAATATTCGGTCTTCCTGCGCAGTAGTCTTACGTTTTCCACCATGTTTTGCTTTATAATTTATGGCGCTTAAAATCATCCTTGCCAAACATCGAAATTATTTTATACATATGAGAATGATTTACCCTCTCAATGATACTTCAAAACAATGTTGCGTTCTGCTGGTGTACAATGGCATCCCCGACCTTCTTTAAAAGGTTTAGAAAACACTTTTACCATCTTTTTTTTTTTCGTTGTAAATCGTGGTACAACACTCTCTCAACTCTTTAACTCCAAAACACGAACCTTGACAAGCAAGGCCGTTGCGCAGAGAAATTAAGTTGAGCACGGTACTTCCAGGGACGTGGACGAACTCCGAACCTCTCGCTTACAAAGCGAACGCTCTTACCACTACACAACTACCGCTTTTAATTTTAATGCATATCCTCAATTACAAATATTTTATCAAAAGTAACAGTTTTCTTGAATGTATTAAATTCTCATTAACCTAATTTACTTATCTCTTTCTAATATATACACACATGAAAAATTAGCTTTTCTAAAATATATAGAAGGGAAATAATAATCAAAATACGAATAATATATATAACAGTACTGCTATTTTCATGCTTAAAACTAAAGACTATAAAAAGTTTTTACATTCGACTCACGACATTTGAAACATTTTATTATTAAATACTCATGGGTTCCAGTGGGCACGGTACGTTTTTTAAACGTTTTTTTAGACGTTTTTATTAGGTTTAGACATTAAAATGTCTAAAAAACGTTTTAAAAACGCACCGTGCCCACTAGGGTGTTTACAGCTTTGAAAACATTTAAAATATCATTTTTAAATTTAGATAAAAACCCATAAACTCTCTAAAGTCTCTAGGATTTGTAGACCAAGTTAAATTAAGATTTTTTAACGGTCTATAGAAGTTTAATAGAAAGTCTTTATTTTTGTGCGCTTAGAAAATAATAATAATGTTTTTTTATATAAATTTTGTAAAAACTTTGACCTGGGCATCTTTGCGTATCTATATATATTTTCATATTCAAGTTTTTAAACTTTTTTTGCACTTATTTTCTTAATAAAAGATATCTTCTCTCATTGCTTTGCTTTAAAATTCTATATTCTTTATGTTTTAAATATAAAATATAAATATATCTAAACTTTTGAAGTTTATAATATTTTTAAACTTTCTAATTTCAGATCCCTAAAAAAATACATATTACCCCATAGAAAGAAAAGTTGTTTATTTAAAATAACGCCAACGAGTTTAAAACAGTTTAACATATGAATGCTAAAAGTAATCTAAAATATTTTTTTTCATTTTTACACAGTTGGAATTTTTTTTTCACAATTGTATTTTTTTAGAGGGAAAAAACAACGCGCATAGTATTTACACAGTTTTCAAATTGATAAATAATATGTAACTGTGAAGTCCCTCATAATCAAAAAATTACCTTAAATTATCTAAATTTGACTTAGCTGAATAAACGATTTAACATATTAAAAGCTCTTTTTTTTCATAATTTTTATCACTTTGATTTCGTCTAGCAGTAATAAAGGCAAAAAAATGCGAAAGTTGGTTCTTTTGTTAACAATAGTAGCCAGTGCCATAACATGGAAAAAAGAAATGGAAAGTATGCAATGATTTGTTTTGCAAAACATTTACTTTGATATTGTGTTGGCGTAATTACTATACAACTCTCTATATATGTTGCACCTTACGTTTTTAGATCCAAATATGTATCAGGGAGACATCCAGCTTACACCAGATGAAGAAGAAAGGTTAAAAAATAAAATGAGTCCATTTGGATCAATCAAAGATAAAAGATGGACAAACAAAATAGTACCATACATGATTGATAATACGATAGGTGTGTTGTTTTTTTAAATATTTTTTAGTTATAATAGTAAAAAAGATTTTATAAAAATTTTAAAAAAATTTACAATTTTTATAAAGTCTTTATAAAAATTTTATTTTATAAATTTTTATAAAAGTTATAAATGAACTTGACAATAAAATTAAGCAATAACTTTTCTTTTTCTTAAATATTGGCGCCAGTCAAGTACTGATCTAAAATTTTTGTTCAGATAAAGAAACTTCGTTTCTAAATCCCTTCCTTCATAATCTTTAACATAATACTAGTTTTAACATAGATGCTGGAACACGTCAAGCAATTAACGATGCAATCGCAGATTATCACACTTACACTTGCCTTAGATTTGTTCCGAGAAAAAGTGAACCAAACTACATTAGGTTTACAAAAGGAGCAGGGTATGTACAATATTTTATCAGGTAAAATATGTTAAACTTTTTAAGTTTGACATAGTATATCTGAAAAATATCAATTATTATAAATAGCTTCTTTTGCTATAATAAGTATTTATTGTTTTGCATTCAGAATAGATAAGTGCATATATATTTTTTAGATGCACTTCACCAGTAGGAATGAGTGGTGGTGTAAATGTAGTTTCTCTCGGAGAAAATTGTGGTGATAAAGGAACAGCTTTGCACGAAATTGGTCATAGTATAGGTATATACCAATCACTATGCTATTAGATCTTCTTAATAAATAAATTCTTCTAATATTAAAAACATTCCGAAAGTCTTATTCCATTATTTATAACCAAAAAAAAAACAGTTAAAATTTAAAGTTTAATTAACTTATCATTTAAGAAACTTTAACATTTTTTTTGTTAGGGTTGTATCATGAACAATCAAGACCAGACAGAGGAAAATATATTAAAATTCACTATAACAACATTGATCCAAGTAAGTTTAATTGTTATAATTTATATATTTTATACGTTAAAAAGTTACGTTAAAATAAAAAATGTTGAAAATAAACAAAAATCTGTTTGAATTTTATACGTACGTAAGCTATACGTGAATACGTGAAGTTAGGTTGTTGCTACTCTGGATTTTGTTTGTACTGCTTTATTTGTCTTTGAGCCCAGATTTAAACAACAGATCCTTAGTAAGCTCTCTAATCACTCTCTAAGCTCTCTAATCACTCTGTCATAATGGCTTTAATACTTGTTTTAAGTGAATTTTTGAAAATTATTTAAAATTGTTAATGCTTCAAAAATTTTAATAATTTTTTTAAACTTTGTTTTTTTATTAAATCTTAAATAAAAAAAATTAAAATTTTTTAATTTATTGAAAAAATAATGCTAATACCATTGCTGTGATACTGCTACTTTTAATACTATAAATATACTACCAGTATTAGTCATGGTCGACGATACAAAGTGTATGTGTGGGAGGAGGGGGAGGAGGGTTTAAAAATTTCTTAAAAAAAAAAGGTCCTAAAGAGAAAAGATAAGGATGAGGGTGAAGGTATCATTTAACCTGGCCCTCCACCCCTTCCTGGTGTTGTCGGCACTTGTAGCATACATTATATATTATGTTATTTTGAACAACACGCTTATATATATCTATTAGTCCTAGAAATATAGTAGAAAAATATTTAAAGAGGAATAAAATATTTAAATCCATAAGCTAAACTGTTATTATTATTGTTATTATTATTGTTGTTATTATTATTGTTATTATTATTAACAGAATATGGCACAGCTTTTGCGTTTGACATTGCAAATGATATTGATTCTTTGGGCACTGAATACGATTATCGATCAGCAATGCATTACAGGTATGATTTGTTTCCGCGAATTTTTGATTTTATTTTGTTCTTTTTTTTTAGTGCGAGGAAGAAGTAGGCAAGATATACAGAGTTAGTGATATTCAGAGTGAAAATAAAAAAAATTGAAGTTTTATATTAATTAACTTTAAAATTTTGAAGTAAAATTAAAATTTTTAATTTAATTTTAAAAATATTAGTTTTTAAATATTAGCTATTTAAAAACGACAAAGTTTAATAATAATAAAAAAAAAAATTCTTCACATAAAATGTTATTATTTTTCTATTTTAAAATACAATAATTTCAGAATATTTTCATTTAGCTCGGAAGCATTTGCCAAGCCTGGTTTGCAAACTATTACGACAGTAGATCCCAAAAACATGAAATACATAGAGAACTTTAACCAAATTATTGGTTTCAGCGTCATAGATGTTCAGCAAATCAGAAAGATGTACAATTGCCCAGGAGGTAATCTTTTTTGAAAATTGACTCTTTTTTTTTATAATGTTATATTTTTAATAATTTATTTGTTTGTGTTTATTCATAATTGTATTTTCTGCTATTTTAATTAATTTATTGCTTAAATAGGACCGCTTCCGAATAATTGCATTGACAAAGAAAAAACACAAGATTGTGAATATTGGAAAAAAACAGGTTTATGTAATACAAATAAACCCTTCATGTATTTCCGATGCCGTAAAACATGTGACGTCTGTTAAAAATAAATTTAAATTTTTTAATTTAAAATTGTCTTTGTATCGATTTTAATTGACTTAGGTAGGCACCTAAAACTAAAAGCTTTAAATAAGTCAGAAAAAAATTGAGTTTTCTTTTTTACTAATTATTGTTTAAATATTTACTTATATAAATAATGATTTAATCAGAGATCATTTTGTAAACTAGTTAGTTATTTAGTTTAGTAGTAAGTTAGTTCGACCATTTAAGTAGGAAAAGACGGGGAAAATGGAAAACGTTTTGTAAATGCCAACTTATTATAAAATTATCAGTCTTAAAGAAGTAATACTTTTTCCGTTTTGTTTGTATTAACATAATGACTCATCGCTTGTAAAAAAAATATTTATAAAAAAGTTACACCCAAAGGACACCATTAATTAGCAGTTAACGAAACCGAGGTAATTTTTTAAACGCAATAAATGAACTTTGACGTGTACAATTACGTTAACAATATTCAAAACAAGCAATTGGTGCTTTAAAATAAAAGATATAAATACATTTTTATTCCCATCTATTTTTATATTATTTTATATTATATTAATTTATTGATTTGTTATATGAAAATCTGTCTTACTCCATTTGCCATCTTGCCCGTTTTTCCCTGCTAAAATAATACTCCTTTGGTTTATTATTGTAATCCATGTTGCTATTTATAATTTTTAATTAGTATTTATTTGGTTAGCTTTATTGTTGTCATATACACAATATGCAACAAACATATACACAATACGCGACATTGGACACTGTATTAATGTATTAACATTAATACAGTGTCCTTTGTCAAAAATATACACCATAAGCAGTAAACCATAAAGTGAAAGCTCTATACTAAAATGTTATAAAGGTTTTGTATAAAATTCCATACTCTGTAATACAAAATATGAAATTTTATGCCTTTCAAATTATAATATAATAGAAATAAAAAATCGTATACATAATATAATATAAATAAAAAAATGTATGTATATATATACATATATATATATGCGATTTTCCGAGGGGGAGGAGGGGTGATCACCCCTCCCATTTCTTCCAAAAAAAAATAAAAAGGAGTTGGTTTTTAAGTTAGTCGGTTTTTTTTACGAATTTAGTCGGCTATTCGGATATTTGACTCAATTCAGACGGTTAAATTTTAGCTTTGAGGACCTTTTTTTTTAAATCCAATTTCACAGAGAAAGTCAACTACATATACCGAAGCCAGTCAGTAAATGTAGTTGACTTTCTCTGTGAAATTGGTTTAAAGTTAAAAGTTAAAGTGAGCAGGATTGGCAAATTGAAGTGTTTTATTAGTTTGAAATATATTCATAATTTAAACGTGTATATACATTTTTGTGAACTGTTTTATCATTTTTTCGTTATATTAATTGTTAGTGATGTAATGTCGAGCAATTTTTAAAATCATTAGGTAGTTTTTAGACTGAAAATATTGCTAATTCTCATAAAACATATTTAATGAAGTTGGTTGTTGAAGTAAAATATTATAAAAACTATTAAGTGCTGCAATAGTAAAAATTTAAGCCTATTATATCTAAAAAAAACTTAACCTGGAAACAACTAATCGATAATATCTCCATGAAAGTAATGGGATTATAAATAAAGTTCGACTTATGTTAAATAAACAAAAATTAAAACAACTATATTATTTGTTTATCCACTGCCAATTTAAATAATGCAAATGTTGTATGGGGTAGCGCGCACAAAACTAAACTTAAATCTTTTTGTCAACATCAAAAACACGCAGCTCGCTTAATTACTTCTGTAAATCGTTTTTTAAATTCAAAAACACTTCTGAGAGAAATGAAAGCCTTAAATGTATACAAACTAAATGTTTATAATATTTTATGTTTCATATTTAAATCTAAAAAGCATTTATCTCCTGATGTATTTATAAACCTTTATAATGTGAAACCCATAAACAAATACAATCTTCTTCGCAATGGAAAAAATCTACAAGAACTATTCTGCCAAACTAAATTTAAGCCACTATTTATTTCCTATCGCGGTCCTTATTTATGGAATAAAATAGTTTTGCCAAATTTTGATTTGTCTTTGAAATGGACTTTAACTTCTTTTAAACGAAAATTAAACGAAGTTATCTTTTTAGCTGAAGTTATATTTTTTCTTGTTTTTAATTCTTTGTTTATATATTTTATTCAGTATATTTGTATTTTAAATGCACAGTTATCTATATTATAAGTTTATATATTAACTTATATAGTTTACGTTCATTTATTTTTACTGTTTAAATTGAAATTTGTTGTTATTATTATTATATTTGATATTGTAAAGGGCTTCATGATCGTATGATCTTCTGGAAGTCCCGCCCGTCCCGATTATATTTGTAATAGATAGACAATAACTAGTACTAACAAAAACTTAACATTAATTAATGTTAAGTTTTTATTAGTATTAGTTATTGTCTAGCTAATTTGCCATTATTGCTCATCGGTAATAATGGGAAAATAGCTTTCTCATTGTATTTTTTGTAATTCTGCCGTTTCTTAGATACCGTAGTCAAGCAACTTAGATAGTTATTATAGTCACGCGACTATAACAACTTAGATTACATAATTTTTTTTTTGTTCTTGTTACAATATACTATAGTATAAATATCGTTATACTGATATTTAATATATATATTATATATATTAAATATCAGAACACGGAGACTCAAAGAAGATCGTAAGATCCTGTCACTGAGAACTGTTAAATAATGCAGTAAAAATATAACCAGTTGTAATTACAATAAATGATACAATAAGCCGGGTACTTATTACTAGCCGGCTTATTGTAATCATATTGTATTGATATAAAGTAATTACAATAAATGACGTTTAGAAATAAAATTTAAATTTAACCAGATATTTCAAAAGATAAAATAACGTTTAACAACATAAAGAATATATAAAAAACTAAATATTTCAAAATAAGACAATATGTTCAGGAATCACACACTTTTTTAAAAGGTATAAACTCAAAAGAACTCAAAGATTATTATCAATTGACTAGATAACTTTTTTCAGCTTAATTTTAAAAGTAAGAAAACTCCAACTTTGAGAAAAATCAAAATTTTTTAAAACTATTTTGTTCCACAGAAGAGCTCCGCGATATGTTAAAAAAGACTTCCAAAACTTGTATGAGAATAATGTTGATGAATAAAATTGTCATTTCTAAAAGTCATATTTGTTTTTTTTGTTTTATTGCATATAAATTTTGAAAGGATAAAGGGGTTAGGTTTATCTTACATTTGTAAGATACATTAAAAACATTTTGCTGGTATATATTAAGAACATTCATTTCCAATAAAAGAGGTCTGGCATGAGTATAACGATCTAAATCATTAAACGTGCTATATGCTTCTGTTGCTGATATAGAGGATCTAATTAAATTTTTTTAACATTACCCCATGTGATATTTGCATAGTTTATATGGCATTGAATTAGCGAGTGATAAAGTTGAATTAATGAATGCCTATTTACAAAATTTCGCGCTTTATACATTACTCCAATATTTTTTGAAACTTTATTGCGCAAAATTTCGATATGGTTTTTCAAGTTAGATTTTCATCAATGAAAACACCAAGGAAATGTATAACTTTTGATTTTTTTAAGTCCATTTAGTTTTTTTAAAGTTAATCGATAGTTTATTTGACTTAAACCAATTTGAAATTTTAATTAGTTCTATGTTGATTTTATTAAATAGTGTAATGATATTTTTACCGGATAGAAAATATCATCAGCAAACATTACTGTCTTCAAATTTGAGGCATTGTACAGATCATTAACATAAATGAGAAAAAGTAGCGGCCCTAGTATAGACCATTGGGGAACACCACATGTTACATCTAGTAAACTTGTTGAGGAGGATACGTCAATTTGCACAAACTGTTTACGATTGCCTTTTTAGCAAATTTAATAAATTTACGCTGATTCCATAGCTTTTAAGTTTTTCTATAAGAATCTCATGATCTATCGTATCAAAGGCTTTTGATAGATCAATGAAAACTCCAAGAGTAAATTGTGATTTCTTAAAAGAATCTGCAATATTACTAGTTACATGAAGTATGGCGTATATAGCGTATTCCGTGGAATTATTTTTTTTTTGGATCCGTATTGACTGGCATTTAATGTTTTATTTTTAGAAAGATGTTCATATATTATGTTTTAAAGAATCGTTTCAAAAACCTTTGAAAAGCCAGAGAGTACAGATATTGGTTGATAATTAGTTATGTTTTATACCTTTATATATTGGTGTAACTTTAGCGATCTTTAGTTGGTCAGGAAATATTCCTTGTTTTATTGTGTAACTAAACACTTTGAATAGAATAGTTTTTATGATCTCGTAAGATAATATAAAAATGTTACTATTTATTTCGTCCTGACCTCTCGCTTTATTTGTTTTTAGCATTTTATAAGCACATTCAAATTTTTTAATTGAAGTTTGAAAATTATGAAGTACAGAAATTTTGGGAAGGCTAAAATAATTTGTATTGTTGGTTACAACTGGACTATTTTTTGCAAAATTAAGACTAACAGAAACAAAATAGTTATTTATCTGATTAGTTATAATTATAACATGTTTATTATACAATCATTCTGTTTTTGTAAATTTAATCTTAAGTTTAAAGTTATTCTTAGTTAAAAAAAATTAAGTCAAGTTGATAACTTTCCCACCTGTGTGTTTAATTTTTTTGTCTTGCCTAAAAATATTTGGCTTAAGCTAATACTTACTTTTTTTTAAGAAATTTTGTTTAGTGTATATATATATATATATATATATATATATATATATATATATATATATATATATATATATATATATATATATATATATATATATATATATATATATATGTATATATATATATATATATATATATATGTATATATATATATATATATATATATATATATATATAAATATATATATATATATATATATATATATATATATATATATATATATATATATATATATATATATATATATATATATATATATATATATATATATATATATATATATATATATGGCGAACGCGGGGTAACTGCGAACATAGTCAAAACAGCATAATAGAAAAATATATTTGACAATTTCTTTTTACCTTCTAAGAGGAGATTTCATGCTCAGTTCCAGACGTGAAGTAGTGTTATAAAGCTGTGCTTGTTATTGACGGTAATTTGATTCAAACTTTTTTTATTAGGTAACATTCTTGCTGCAGCTACTATAGATATAAAATCACTCCTTTTGTTGTTATCGTTACATTATATAGTTTTTGCGCTTAATTATTACAATTATTATTTTATTTGCAATTACACAACAGTGTTTGTGATTACCCGCTGTGTGTACGGAATTATTTCACGTACGTAGGGTAATTTCGAACTCGAATGGTTTTATTTCTGCCCTAAATTTTTATTTTATAATAAGATTTATAAGAATTGTTTTTGAGGGTTTGTGACTGAATAGTTAGACTAATTGATAAGCAATAAATATGATCAATTTTGTATAACTGGTGTCTTTAATTCACACTCCCTCCTAGCTATTCACCAATACCCCGTTCTCCCCTATATATAAATATTACTTTGCATGGTGCATAGGAACATGCTCTTAGACCTTGCAACACATTCCCTGAATATTTTTTTGTTTATTATCAGAAAACTCTTCCTACTTTCAAAAATGTAAAAAAATAACCTTTTTTTACCGCGGGCTTTTGGAGAAACTATGTAATTTTGGCTAGTGCTGAGTAAATTTGTTTTTCAAGATAGGTAACTAAGAGCCATGTAGTATACTCCAATTTCTAGCATGTTGATACAAGTGTCAAATGAAGATGACTTGCAAAAGGTTTAGGTAATTGGAGCTAACCTAACCCTGTCCTGTCCCTTTGTAATGTGATGGGGATGGGGGTGGTTAAGGACTGAAAGATTGTCTCAAATACCCAGAAATTGCATGAATAAACCTTTGCCCTTAAACAAACATGTTCTTAAGTATGTATTGCGAGTTCCAAAAACTGAACTATTAAATTTATCAACTACTACTATTGCTATTTTAGTTATTACTATTAATAGAATTTAGTTATTACAATTATTTTAAAAATTAACAATTAACCAGGGCTAGCCATTGCTAATTGTTAATATTTGAATTAATAACTCCTCACAAGCATTGAATAATAAACTGAAAACATGTTTTTGGTCATTACATTGAAACTTGAATAATGGGGTGGACTTATCATGGCAATATTATATATGCTTATAAAAAACTTTTATTTAAAGTATTCATTTAAAATGTCTAACCATGTTTAAGAACAATTTGGTTTTGTTAAAGCGGTTTACATTTGCTGCTTCAGGAAAAGTAAAGATTTATGACTTATAAATAATGATAAAACAACATATTTAAACCTGAATTTGAAAACTAACTTAAAAAAACTTAAAAAAAAACTAACTTAAGAATATTAAATTCTGGAATGATCATTCAACTAATAACTGCTTTACTCAAAATGTAGAAAAAAACTTGCTGGGACTGACCTTTACTTCTTATATTATTTTCTCTATGTAATCGTGTTATAAAGGTAAAATATTCATATTTATATATAACATACTTTAGTTGAAATTTAGTTATGTTGTTATTGTCACTTTAGTTACTAGACATGAGCTAGATAATCTAGACTAGACTGAATACCCAAATTATCAGATAGAGAAAATGTGAATGTTTAATATTTTGAAAAAAATCAAAATGTAAAAAATATTGGCCCCTATGATTGAATGAGTTTTGGGAGAACCTGTTTATAATGGTGCCAAAGACAGTTTCAAATAAACCTGCAAAAAACTTTTTTTTTTGAGATTGCTTTTTTGAAATATCACAAGGAATCTCAAATCATGGTATAAAGTTAGAAAAAGCAAAAAAGTTTGATGGTTATTGTAAGATCAACATCTGTTATAACATAATAGAATTTCTGTCCCGTTCAATTAAATGTTTGAGCACAAATAAATCAGGAAACACTTTAGCTTTAAAAGCTTGTCGAAAATACTAAGGTTAAAAACCTTCTTTGATAAATTAAACAAAATTCACTATATATAACTATATAAAAGAAAAGGTTTTTAAATAATTTTTTGATGAGTTTAAAGTTATTTTTCTAAATAATTTTGTTATGAGTTCTAAGTAATTGCAATATGATTAAAGTTGCACTTTTTCTGAGGAGTGAAGGACATAGGAAAAGTGTTGAACCTAGTTTCAATATTAAACTGTTTGAGGATAACAAGCTGATTAGAAATTTATTCAATGGTGATAAATTTTCAATATTATTAAGAGTAAATCAAAACAGAGAAATAATAAGTTTATTACTTAAACTTTTTTAAACAAGTAGATTGCAATCTTCATCATTCATTTTGATTTTTTATGCATATGTAGTTGATAGAAAAAAAAAAGAAATAAATGATGTTGGTATCATATTAAGTGTAGATGGAGAGCAGGATTTCCTTAAGTAATTACTTTGTTAGAGTAACTTTGTTACTCTAACAAAGTTACTTTTAAACCAGATTTCTTAAACGAAAAGTAATTTTTTTGTAGTTCTAACAAGCGGACAATTAGGGGTCGGGGCGCGGTTGGGTTAGCTTCAATTTCATAAACATTTCGCTAGTCATCATCACTTGACACCAGCATCAATATGCTAGAAATCGGAGTATACAAGGGCTCTTAGTTACTTTCTTGAACAACAAATTTACTGAGCATTTGGCTTAAATATCTTATTTCTCCCCGGGCCCCTGGTGATAAATAAATATTTTTTTAGGGGGGGGGGATGTGTTCCATGATCTTAGATCCAAGGCCGGCGGGATAGGGGTGTGTGTATGTTTGTGTGTGTCTGTGGGGGGGGGGGGGGTTGACACCCCTCATCAATGATTTTTAGTCGGCAAATTTGACCCTTTTTGACTAGTTTGTCGGCTGTTTATACATTTGTCAATGTTACTATACATAACGCATGGTTGCGTGGCTACAAACAGAGTTATTTTATGTAACACAAGTAGTTATGGGATCAATATGCGGACAATATCCTAATAATACAAGTTATTATAGGGTTGATATGTTGGGAAATACATTCTACGACTTAAGCAAAATCCTGAGCCATTATTTTAAGCAGATTGAGCAAAATATGATGCCATCTATAACTTGTGTAGAAAAACATTTACATCAATAAGATATTATTTTAAAATATTTTTGCTTTTAACTTTTTTTTACCAAAGTAATTAATTAAACTTAAATCAAAATTACAACAAAGTTAAAGCTTCCAGGAAAAAAAATTTTTCCAGGAAAAAAAGTTCTATAAAAAGGTCAGGAAAAAAAGATTTTCTATAAACTTTTAAAAATTTGGCCTATATAATTCTATAGAACTTCTATGTCTATTAACTTCTATAGAAATTGCTATAAAATTATTTTTTCTATAGAAATAAAAAGTAGAAAAAAAAAGTTCTATAAGAATTTCTATAGAACTTTTTTTTTTTTAAAGTTAATTTCTATATTTCTATAGAATTAACATTTTATAGAATATAGCTCTATAGAAATTCTATAGAATTCTATAGAATTTCTATAGGGCTGCAACGAAGCCAGTTAATCTAACTTTAAAATAATAATTTAAGTTTTTTTTAATTAAAATTGATTTTGGTTTTCCATTTGATAAACTCGCGTTATGTTTCTGAGTTTTACAAATTTCAAACCATGAAAATAAATGAAGGGTAAAAAATTTATTATGACCTAATTAAAATGGTTCGAACAGTTTAGCAAAAGTATGCTAAAAGAGATCAATCTCAAATATTTTTTTCCGTTAAACAATTGCAGTTTTTCGGCAGGAAAGAATAACACATATATTATTTGCACAGTTTACAAGTTAATAAACAATATGCAAATGTGAAACTCTCTCTTAATCAAAAATTACTCTAGGATGTCTAAATTGACTTCAGCTGAATAAACGATTTAACGTATTAAAATCTGTGTTTTTTTTATTTATTTCTAATTAATTTTGTGGAAAGCAGCATTAGAGATGTTAAAGTTTGCAATTTTGTTAACAATTGTGATCTGTGTCAAAGCATGGAAAAAAGAAATGGAAAGTAGGTTTTGGTGAAAACAATTTGTTTGGTTGATGCTTTGTTTATTTACTATAAAACTTTGAATGAATGTGTTAACTTATATATTTTAAGACCCTAAGATGTATCAAGGCGACATTCAGCTTTCGCCAGATGAAGAAGTCAGGGTAAAAAATAAAATGAGTCCATTTGGATCAATCAAAGATAGAAGATGGACAAATAAAATAGTACCATACATGATTGATAATACCATCGGTGTGTGTTTTTTTATTATGCTTTATTACTTTTTTGTTATATAAAAACTCAAAAGTTTTAATAACTATTAATGCAAATAAAGGTATTCTCATCAGACTTTACAATATAATATTTTTTTTTTTTCTTTTTCGCTTTTTTTTTGTTGAAACTTTTAAAACCGTTGTAAACTTTATTTGGAACTTTTGAAAGCTTTTTGAAAGCTTTTGTTTGCTTTTGGCAACTTTTTTGAAACCTTTGGAAATCATTTGTAATCAATCATATTATCTTGCATGGCTTAAGATGCAATAGTAACCAAGAGTTGTGCTACTAAGAGTTAGTAAAAATGATGAGGGTTGTTAGATGTAGATATATGAAAAGTTATTCATCTCGACGCATTAAAAGTCGTGTTCGCCAATAGCATTTCGTGAAAAGTAATATATCTCAATTATCGAAAAACCTGCAATTATATTTTGGGCAAAGTTAGTTGCAGTATACGGTAGTATCAATATATATTCTAAATTGTATACTGTTATTGTTTTGTCAGTTTGCGTAAAACCCAATTAAAACATTGAAAGGCTGGTATTGCATGCTAAATAACTAACAGGCTATAAAACTTAATCTTATTAAACTTAAAAGCCTATAGTTTCAGATTTTTGGTGTGATAATTTTCTTATCCGCTTTGTTAAGGTTTTTGTATACTCTAGTACTATTAGTTTTTTTTTCTATTTCTTTAACAGCGCATTTTTTTAAGCTAACATTTTAAAGCAATTAAACGCTCTTGCTTACATGAAAGTTTTAGAGCATTGAAACGCCCGAAAACGTATTTTTTTTCTTTTTGCAATACTTTGTTTGTACACACAAAAAGTTAGTATTTTTGAAAGAGGAATGTGTAAACCAAGGGTGGGCTTAGTGGAGGGAGGGGGTAGACTCTATTCTTTTCTAAGTCCTTTCTCAAATTATATAATTAGTTAACACAATATCAATTTTTACATAGATGCTGGAACACGTAAAGCAATAAACGACGCTATTGCTGATTATCATACTTACACTTGCTTAAAGTTTGTTCCACGAAAAAATGAAATTAATTACATTAGATTTACCAAGGGTAACGGGTGAGTTTATTATATTACCTTTTTGTTAAGTTTAAAACGCATTCAAAGTAATTACTTTGAATTAAATTGAATTACTTAATTAAATGAGTCGTATTCGTTATTGTAAGTTAGTAAAAATCAACGTCTACATCTTTTATTAGATGTACTTCACCAGTAGGGATGAGTGGTGGCGTAAATGTTGTTTCTCTTGGTGAAAATTGTGGAGATAAAGGAACCGCTTTGCATGAAATTGGTCATAGTATAGGTATGTACTAATAATTACATATAATAAACAATAAGAGTTATATAATATGTGTATATAGTAATAAAAAATTATTGAAAACTTTTTTAAACAACGCTGAGATTCGACTTGATGTTCTTTTTAGGATTGGAACATGAACAAGCAAGACCAGATAGAGGAAAATATGTTAACATCAACTATAAAAACATTGACCCAAGCAAGATTAATTTATTTTAGTTTTGAAGTTTATAATTTAAACTAGAAATTTGACTAAACTCAGTATGTTATTTTAATATAGTGTTGCAATTTGAAAGTAAAAAATCTATACCAAAGATAGGGCGTGGGTCAAAATTGCAAGTTATCTTTTGTTTACGATTTCAAATGAGTTTTTTAAGTAACAATTTTGATATATTTTGATCGAATATTGTAGAATATAACGTTGCGTTTGCTTTTGATATCTCAAGAGAAGTCGATTCTTTGGGAACTGAATACGATCTTCGTTCAATGATGCATTACAGGTAAAATATTTGCTTCCACAACTTTATAATTTTCAAGATATCATAAAATAACAGATATATTTTAATGCATTTAAACGTTCAGCATTTAGGTCTTGAATTATATGTAAGAAATATCTGGTTTATGGTTTCGGTGGAAACATTAAACTGTTTTGTTAAATGTTAGCCTCATGACGACACTATGTTATAAAATTATTGAGTTTTATTTAAATTTCTTTAAAAAACAATTGTTTCTTTATCATTTGACTTTTTTATTTCAGAACCATTATGAGAAACACTTCATAAATTATCATTGGTTGATATTATCGGTTTATTGAGCTTTCTTATATAACAGTAACAAATGTTTTAAGTGGTACTTATTTTAGTTTTTGAATTCAATCATCTAATTTTGCTCTGAGTTCTAATGAGTTTTCAGTATAATTTAAGGCAGAACATCAAATGAAGTTTGGAAGTAGGATTTTCGCAAGATCCTTCAAATTTTTTGTTCAAGTCAGGTTGTGTTTAACGACACTTAAATACGTTTAAAACGTATTTAGAAGCTAGACGTGTAGAAGTCATCAAATTTTATTTAGAACAATAATAAGCTCGTAATGGAACTATAAGGAACGCCAAAAAAAAATAAACACGTTATTTATGTGATATCACGCTACCATTTTTAATATATTGTTAGCGCTTAAACAAATCTCTAATCCGTCCTCAGTAATTTTCTTAAACTCTTGAATATAGAGTTTTCTATAAGACATCTATGAACAACTGAAATAAGCATCAAAATACTGCGCTGATAAGCAAGTCAAACAAAGACAATAAAGCAAAATAAAAAACGATAAAATAACTAAAGAGTCCTTGCTTAAGTCAAAAAGAGTTTCTCAATTTTTCAAAAATTCTTTTTTTTTTGTTAGAAACGTTAATGAACTTAACTACGTCGCCATTTCTTTAAATACTTTTTGATAGATATTCCATATTTGTTACTTATATTTGCTCTTAAATAATAGTTTTTATTTATATTTTTTTCATATTTATTAATAAAATTTGCAGAACGAGTTTGTTACCGGGTGTATTTTTTTACGAGTTAGTTACCAAGTATATCATTAGTTTAAGTAACTTTGGCAATACTCATACTTTCGATAAAATAAAAAAATCAGAAATGTGAAAAAGCACTTTTTTCCGGATATTCAAAAAAGTATATATTTATTTACAAATTAAAATATATATTTATTTACATCCAAAAATTTCGAAAAAGTCTTTGTCAAGTGTTTTTATATTAATAGCACTGTATATTATTTAAATATTAATTTTTGTCTAAACAGCACTGCCTCAAAATAAGTCTATGTAATCTTTTATAATTTCTTGTTTTTTATTTACACTAAAAAATTTTTATTCACTAACATTTTCAATTAGCAAATGGAAAAGTAATTTTTAACATAATTTTTTTTTTCAGCTCTGAAGCATTTGCAAAACCGGGTTTACAAACAATTACGACAGTAGATCCAAAAAATATGAAGTATATAGAAAACTTCAACCAAATTATTGGTTTTAGCATCATTGATGTTCAACAAATAAGAAAGATGTATAACTGTCCTGCAGGTATAATTTCGTTATATTTTGTGTAAAGTTTTAATGTTGAAAAAAAATGTTATTGTTAATTAAAATTGATAAAATTATACTTTTATCTAGGACCTCTTCCAAACAATTGCGTCGACAAAGATAAAACTGAAGATTGTGCATATTGGCAAAAAAGTGGTTTATGTAATACGAACAAATCATACATGTATTTTAATTGTCGCAAAACATGTAACGTTTGTTAAAAAAAATTTAGTTTTAAATTTGAAAATATACTGATAAAAATTAATCTACTTATCAGTTACAAAAAATGGTTTTATACATAATTTTCATGCAAACTTAAAAACACATAATTTCTGGGGGTATATGATGGGTCTGAGAACATTTTCTTAGATTCATTTATTTATAACTTGTAAAAAATACTAACTCTATTCTTGAAGAAGAAAAAACTAATTTAGCCATGTTAAGTCGTATTAAAGGGGTATAACAGACTAGCTAGAGTAAGAACACAGCCGAAAAGTCAGAATGACTTTTCAGGTTTGTTCTCACTCTAGCTAGACAGTTATACATCCTTGATTACCTTGTGGTTTGTTTCGCAAAAATTGCGAAACAAGCAAAACAGTTTAGCGCTGTTGTAATAGATATGCACATTGTATTACAATCCATAAAACTTTTACTTCTGCTGGAAATTGTAAAACATCTTTATAAAAACTCAAAAAAAATCTGTTTAAAAATAGAAATAAAAATAGAAAACTTGGCTGTTATGCTTCGTACTTATTGCAAGCCCTTCTATGGAGAACAATTTTCAGGGAACGTCTGCCTTAAACTACTTAAGAATACACACTTCTTTCAACAAACGGCAGAGAAGTAGTGTGTCTTTACTGTATGGTTTCATTCAATTAAATATTGCTCAAAATAAAACTAAAACTTTATAAAAAGGAATGCCTGTCTGAAAAAAATTTATTTACAATATTTTCATTTTTAAAATCAAAACAGTCATGACCATTTCAACTAAATTAATTGAGTTTTGAAAAAATTGTTAAAAAAGCCAAAAATTGTTCTTTTGCATTTACATAACTAAACTTAGAAACCAATTTTTTATTGATAATTGTTCTGACCAAGCGGTTAAAACTAAGTTATTTCTTTCGTAAACTGTTAGCTAATTATCAATAGAATTTCAAGTCTTGAAAATTTTTTTTTTTTTTTTTTTTATGTTGATTTTAGGTGCCCCAAGAAGTCCTTACGGTTTTATCACAGAGCACCGCGGAAGAGCATTTAATAGGAAGTTCACGCCTCCTTCCCAACCGATGTCGCAAAACTTGCCCAGAGGTGGGGTTTGAACCACGGATCTTACGTTTCTGAGGCTAAATTGTTAAAGTTGAGTCATGATTTTAATTACTAAATTAAAATCATGACTCAACAGTGTTCACACTAAAAATAAAATAATATTGGAAAATAAAGATATTTAACAGAAAAAAATACAAAGTCTTGTTGATTAAAAGAAAGTTACAGTTTAGTTTAAAGTTAAAGTAAGTTTTTGTTTGTGTAGTTTATCACCATTTTTTAACTAATCTGTTTATAAATTCTACGAAACAAACATCATATAAAATTGGAATACATAGGTGGGTAAAAATAACATATATTAACTGCCTACCCCAACTGGGTGTATAGCGTTGTTAAAGCCGACCGTGTTCATCTTTTTTGAGCGAACTAACTAAACTTTTTGAACTTTTGAGCGAAGGTAACTAAAGAAATTTAGCTGAAAGTAAGAATTTTTTTTTTGGCAGATGTGAAAGAAAATAAGAAAAATGGCAAAACATTTCTTCAATACAAACTCGAAAAGAAAATATATGGTAAAAATATTTAACAAGATAATACAATCATGTTCATACCATGTCAATCCTAAAAAATCTTTTAAAGGCGTGGCACAAAATTTGGCCCCCAAAAAAAACAATTCCGTAAAAGCTGGATTTATGCATACTAAGGTTAGGCCTTTTTTTTTTTCACATTTCCCTGTAAAAAAATCTTGAGGAGCTTGTCGAAATGGTAAAATTGGTAAAATAAATTTAATAAATTACTCCAAAATATTTACAACCTGGATTAGTTATATTTCTTGCTATGCAATTTATTTTACAATTACTACTTACATTTATATGGCTTAACCAAAATATCCATGTTTGAGTTTAAATTATTAATAAAGAATATGAAAAAGAAGAAATGCAAATTAGAAATTCAAAAACATCAACAAAAAAATTAAAAATTGTTATAGTTAGAAACTTATATAATATAAATGAGTTTTATTTAAAGAGTGATATATAATAATCAGGGGCGGTCCGAGGTAACAAGTGACCCCAGTGCCACTAAAATTTTGAGAACCTGTAATGCTATATACAATCCGCGCCAAACAAATAGCACATACTATAAATATAATATATATTTTAATCATTTTATACTGTTTTAAACATTAAAATATCTGAAAAGAGTCATAATCAGATAAGTAATAAGAGACATATCGTTTTTGGCGCCAAATGTTTTCCCGCGTCAAAATATGGTATTTTCTTTTAACACCTTTTAACACCAAGAAGTGAGTTTGCATGGTTTTTAACAAAAATCAAAAACTGTGATGCATTTACTTCATAAATTGAGTGTAGCAGGTTGTAAACTGGAAATTTGATTTATTAGATAATTGGATATAAAAAAAAAGAGATTAAAAAAATATATTAAAAAAATATATTTTAAACGAATAAGTTGATAAGGCGCTTTTACAGGTGTTAAAGATTAGTTCAAGTTATTCGCTGTTAAGTTGCTTATGATTAATTTATTTTTTTGAATATTATTTCATTTTTTTATTTATTATTAAGTAATAAACTATGATAAAGGTATTTTAAGGCATTATTTTTAGATATGTTTCTTTTGTATGCCATAATTAAGTGCCGTGACTAGTGATTCGGAGGACACTCCTAAAAACCTGTTATTAGAGGCCCGATTTCTTAATAAAGTATTTCTCTACGCATTACTAAAAAATAAAATAATGCTCTTTAAATTTCTAAAAGGACCCCTAAACTTGATATTGAGCCCCCTAAATTCGCGGTTGAGAGTGTAGGGTAGCCTAGCCACGGCTCTGCCATAATGTATTGTGAATTTTGCTTTAAGCTCGAGACTAAGCTAAAAAGTTTAAAGGATTTGATATTAGCAAATACGCTTCGGAAATCGTTTGTTTTCTAAACAGCATTAAAAAAAACTTGTTTTTGCAATTTTGACCAAACAATAATTATTTTTTACAGCTTTATTTATGGCAAAACTGGCAAAAAATTTACGTCTTTTTTTTATTATCTGCAAACTTTGAAGAGCAGATTCACGCAAAAGTTTAGGGGATTTTAAAAGAAAGCCTGATGCCTAAGCGTAGAGTGTGATGCCTGATGCGTAGAGTGTTAGAGTAAAATATATATCAAAAACTGTCTGCAACTGATGCATGCAGACTAGATGCAACTGATGTATGCAAACTAGGAAACTGATTCAAAGAGCAAAATAAAAGTGTTAATACAAGATGTATCACTTAAATGAAGTTAATTGAAACTAAAAGGTTGTTTAGACGCAAGCGCAGTATTAAATACAAACATTAAAATTTTGAAAATGGTCACTGTCTTTAGATACAAAGTATTTTTTTTGAGTAACAACAATATATTTATATAAGTCGATTCTTAAAAGATAAAAACAAGAAAAGTATGTTTTAGTATACAAAAAACTGCGATTCTCTGCTACATTTTTCCAACTTTTAATCTTTTTATATTTTCAAAACTTTTTTTCTAAATATTTGAGCGTGACAATTTATTAATTTTTACTTTTTTGTTTAAAAAAGTCGTATCTTTATTTGGATTTATTCTCTGATCTGAGTATTCAATTTTTTTTTAAATAAATGTAGAGTTAACCTAACACTACTTTTGTGTTAATTAATAGATACATTTCAAAACACTTACTTTCATATGTATAGGTAATAAAAACAACTTAAAAACTAAATGTGAAAAATATGAATGCATACAATAGGGTCCAAAATCGAACGTCCAAGCATATATTATGTCTTTTGTTTGATTTGTATGCATTAAATTAGTTAAATGTATATAATATGCTCAAGTTTGGCAGATAAAGCAGGTCCAACTACGTTTACAATATGTTTTTGGGACGTTGTCAAGGAGAACAAAAGCATTATTAGAAGTATTAGTTTAAATATGAAAACAGTATTCCATACAGGTACGAATAAGAGATTTGTAGAGGCAGAGAATGGAATCAGGAGTAAATATTCCTGAATGGAATAAGGAGTAAACTTTGCAATCGATTTAATATATGATTTCTAGAGGTCAGTAGTGAATGATAATATAAGAAGATGAAAAAAAGTGGACACAGAGGGAGGGTTGACTTTCATTAATATAGAAATGTCAACAGTACTGACAGAGTTGTTTCAGTAAATAACTAAGTTTGGAGTTAAAATTCACAAGCCCTGAATTGGGCTGTTCTCCAAACAAACAGCTTAACCTGTTGCAGAAGTGAAATCAGATTCAAGATCAAGACTTCAAGAGAAGACTTTTAGTCAAGACAAAAATTTAGTCGTGAGCAAATAGAGGTGTAAGATTGTTAAGAATATTGTTTATGTAGAAACAGCACAGGACTAAAGATAGAGCCTTGAGGTGCCCCAGAAGTTATTGGAATCGATGAAGAGTGTTTGTCTTTGAGAATGGTTTTAATAAAGCGGTTAGAAAGAAATGAGTTGATAACCTCAAAAACTTTCCCAGATACATTATATGAATGGCGAATTTAGGAAAGCTTATGGAGAAGATCATCAAATCAAACTTTTTTAATCTTTCAATTGCATCAGTTAGCAAGTCAGGCGTAGAACGAGACAATTTAAAACTAAATTGATTGTCAGAGAGATTACTAGAATCAAGATGGAACCTTAAAAAATTGTTGATCAAAGATGGAGCGAAATATAGTTGGAGGGGTTTAAATGTTCTCAGATTTTTTAAAATTCGAACCACTTTGCAGCATGCCGGAAAACAAAAATTAAATAGTTGAGAGAGAATTAAAGAGAGTTTTGGAAAACACGTTTGCAAGGCTACGACAGGAATGTTGTCTCGAACACGAGATGTAGAAGATTTTATTTGAGAAATGACTTTAGCAACGTAAGGCGGAGTTAAACAGCTTCACCCATTTTTAGACACCTAAATTACTCCGATTTGGGTGTTTAAAAATGGATGAAGCTGTTTAACTGGAATGGCAGGAAGAGTATTTCCTTAA